GACCTAAGGGATCCTAGGAAATGCCTCTGGAGACATTTTGGCCTCAAATGGGAAAGAAGAGAAAATTAATAATCATATTCAGGATTTTTATGTTTCTTAATCTGTAACTCAAAACTTTGAACTGCTAACTTTAAATGGCTAAATAAATAGTAGTCCCTGTTTTCTAGAAGTCACCCACTTTCTACAAGGATGTATGATGTTGTAGTAGCTCCACAGTATAGGTTCTGGAACCAGACTCCTTGTGGCAAGTCCTGGCCTGGCATTTTACAGCTGTGTATTCTTGGATAAGTTCCTTAACCTGTGATGCCTTGGCTTTTCCATCTGTAAAATGGGCTTAATAATAATACTGCCACCTGCTTCATAGGGATGTTGTTCCTTGGCACTTCACAACTGCTAAATAGGCAAATGCTTCATGTTATTATTGCAGTATTGTGCCAGATGGAGCCTATTTAAACACTTAGCAAATAAAAGTGTAAAAAATTAATTTTTTTTTTTGGCCATGTGGCATGTGGTTTCTTAGTTCCTGACCAGGGATCGAACCTGTGGCCCTGGCAGTGGAAGAACATAGTTTTTTAACCACTGATCACCAGGGAAGTCCCCCAGATGAATAGTTTTTGATGCTTCTTAATTTTCCTGAGGCTCAGAGAGGCAGGTTAGAGGTAACCTATAAGATGTTATGGTTTTGTTTATTTGACACTCAGGTAGAGAGTTACTGGGGTTTCCCTGGTGGCTCAGCGGTAAAGAGTCTGCCTGGAATGCAGGAGATGCTAGGAGACGCTGGTTCAATCCCTGGGTCAGGGAGATCCCCTGGAGGAGGGCATGGCAACCCACTGCAGGCAACCCATTCTTGCCTGGAGAATCCCATGCACAGAGGAGCCTGGCGGGCCACAGTCCATCAGGTCACAAAGAATCTGACACAGCTGAAGTGACTTAGCGTGAGCATGAGAGACCTGCTAAAGGCGAGGCAGTAGAGAGGCAGCATTTAGCTTGTTTTGTTTTTCTTAATAGGAAGAGGTGGGACGGTTCGGAGGCATAAGTGATTCTGCCAGGAGCTTAGTGTAGGTGTTGAAGCATAGGTGTATTGAGACTAGCAGGGAACTGCTGCATTTCATTTAAATCCTTCCCGAGTGAACCCTTGTTTTTCCAGATACAGAATGACTTTCCATTTTACGTGGAATAAAGTGCTCTGATTCTCACCATCCATTGGATTGGTAAATCACAAGCTCACCTGTTGTCACTTGGGAAGCCCGTTGTTGCTAAATAGATGGACACCTTTAAATTGCTGTGAAGCTGGGGCTTCCCTGGTGGTCCAGTGGTTAAGACGTCGCCTTCCAGTGCAAGGCATGTGGGTTTGAGTCGTGGTCGGGGAGCTAAGATCCCACATACCTCGTGGCCAAAAAACCAAAATAGAGAATAGAAGCAGTGTTGTAGCAAATTCAATAAAGACTTTCAAAATGGACCACATCAAAAAATCTTTAAAAAGATCTGTGAAGCTCTAACTCAGATGAACCCTCAGACTTCTCCATAATATCCACATCTAATGTGAGAAAATTCAAAGCTACAGGGAGTGGACAGCTTCCCCACTGGTGTTGTTCAGGAAAGAGCAGGCAAGGGGAGCCTTCGGAAGACCCCACGGTGCCGCGAATGTCTCCGTGTGAGTGGTGTGGCAGTGACTATGGGGCTTCCAGGTGTGACCTCCTGGGCTGGATCCACTGTTCTCCTATCATTAATTGTGTGGCCTTGGGTGAGCTATTGAACCTGCTAGCCTCAGTGTACACTTATGGAAAATGAGAGTTGGCCTTGACTCATGGAGTCACTGGAAAGAGTGAGTTACTGAGTCTGGAGAGCTTGGCACGGCCGTGCCTGGTACATAGCACTGTGTAAATGTCAGCCACTGTTGTCAGTGGTCAGACAGTGCTCCTTCCTTAATCCCCTGTCCTTGGAGCTCTTAGTGTTCACGGTCCATGAATGTTTTTAAGCCTCTAATTTCTTAAAACATGGTTCTCATTATTAAAGGGGTCAGATCCTTTTTTCTGGAGAATCCCTTTTAGTAAGTAAGGCACATATGTGTTCTAATCAAAGCTCTACTGTGGCTTGTGTGGAACCTTAATAATGGAATGATCATTTTTATGATTAGAATTGTGTAGAAAGCAGTAAACTTTAGAGAAAAAGATGATCACTTTTTTCTAGATATTTTGTTTTCTAACAGTCTTAATTTATCTCCATCAGTCTTGTTCTATGATGGAAATGGTCACACTTGGGTCTTCTGAATTGTCTTTTCAGTATATGGAAGTTTTGTTTCATTTCTCCCAGCTTGAGTAATCACTTGTGTAAGACAATCATCTCCAAATTTCCCCCCAAAAAAGATAGGTCAGTCTTGTCAACTATGTAGGGTCCCATAGTGATGGACCTGAGAATAACCTGGTGGATGGGGTGTTTTTTCCCCCTGTGGTCCCTGCTTCTGGCCTTCCTTAGCACTCATGCCAGCCCATCCCTGGTGTTCAGACTGCTGTGTGCCCTTAGAGAAGGCACCTTTTAACGGTAATGTGCTGTGGTATAGAAATACTATTTTAAAATATATGTTTGTTTATAAATACAGTTGCATTCACAGCTGTAGAATGAAATGAGAAGGGATTTAACCATGTCAAATGCACCATGACACAGTACCAGAAATAAGGCTGCAGTTGGAAATTTGTAAGTTGTTCAGGACCTGGTGTCTTCTTTCCTCGGGATTATTGCTCAGATAAGACAGGTATTTACCTGGGAATTGATAGCTGCCACGCTGGTCAGGTTTTCCCTTTCCTTTTGTGAAGTGTGTCTTTGTGAAGAGGGGGAGCCCAGAACTCTAATCAGTGCTGGGTAGCTTTCAGTAGCCCCTCAAAGGTTAACTTCCCTTTCTTCTGCCTTGTTTCTGGTATTAGTAATCAAGACTTTAAGCAGAAGTTTGTGCTTTTCACATCCTCTTTCAAAGATATTGTGTGCAGCGCAGTTTTAATCAGCCACAGAAGACCACTGTGGGGGAGAGCCACCGTGATGGGATGCTGGTGATGGTCGTGATAGCTAACTTTTTAAGAGGCTACTGACTGCTTGGCCTTGTGTTAAGCATTGTACTATATCCTCTTATGTAAAACCCCCAACAGCTCTATGAGGGATGCTGCAGAGAGGCCAGGGTTCAACAGCTAGTCACAGAGGTCTAGATTTGGGGGCAGGCCACTGGCCCCAGACTCTTCGTTTTTAGCCAGCCTTGGCCTTCCATGCCCACTCCTTAAAGCTGGTCAAACCTGTGCAAAGAACTCTAAATGGGACATTCTACTAAGTCAGAATGATGAAAATGCTTACTTTGATGAACCATTTCATTCTAAGCCTGACATCCCTTGCTTTTGACCTTCTTGCTTCTGTGATACAAGAAAGTCCAGGGCTGAGGGAGCAGCTGATAAAAAGAGGAGACATAAAAATAGTTGAGTACCTATTTTCTAGTTAATGGCCTCGTTTGACGTTTTCCTGAGAAAATTCTCTCTTCTTTGTTTACTTTTTCTTCTTTCAGGGAAAATTTTTCTATTTTTTCCACCTCCAGCTTTTCTACTTTTTTCCCTTGCTAGTATCTTCCATATTATTATTAATCAACTCTTAAATGACAGTATTCCTGGAGTTGACTTTGTTCAGTCTTATGGCACAAATCCATAGTTCACTTGTGCTAGGTTGTAACAATGCAGTGCAGAGAATTACTTATTCATTTATAATTAAGAACTTGGTTCATGCTGTTTTAAAGAACAATGTTTTATTTCCTTTTCAGTTAAGGAGATAAGGGTCCTGTCTCCTACTCATTTAGTTTGGGAAATTGCTCTCTCTTTCACGCACACATACACTCTGAATATTATAAATGACACAGTGACAGAAAAGGATAATGTGGACAGTGTTGGACTATATATGCTAAAGGATGAGTTATGAAATAAGTACAACAGCAAAAAAAAAAATAAGTACAAAAAAAAAGTGATACTTCAATAAAGACATACTATTGACTCCTTTCTATTTCTTCATATTTCTGTAAGTTGGTTTCATCTCTGTTTCTGTTCAGCATTTATAGGCAAACGTGATCTGGAGAGACAAGAGAAGGTTTTGTTCCTTAATGTGATGTAGGTTGGCCTGAGTGATGTGTATATTTCAGTATACACAGGCGTGCATAGAATTTTAGTATGCCTGTGTGTCCTGGATCTCCAAGACAGGGAAGTGAAAGGGTACATAACTCTGTCACTTAGGTGAGACCACTGTAAACCAACCAAACAAAAAGCCCTTTGAAAAAAAAAAGCAGAAAATTATATTTCAGGTTTACAAGGGGCATCATTTGTAATTTAAACAGACACTGATGTGGGCCAGTTGTTACAAGAACCTAAAAATATTGTATATAGCTTTCTGAAGGAGAAGGAAGACCTAGCATTGAGCGTTTTATCATTGTGTTCTTACACACCCAGCAAAGTCCCAGTCAAGCTGCCCCACTTGCTCAGTGGAGATGTGGAGGTAACTCAGCTTGGTGTGGCTTGGGAAAGACGCTGTGCCTGACACGCATAAGGATCCTTGTGATGACTGCGTTCACCCTGTAGCTTGTTACTCGATAGAATGTAAATGAAAAGTTAAAGGACAGGTTCCTGGGAATAAGTGATACAGGATATCCAAGGAGGGTACCCACCAGTCACCCCCAGAAACTTGTGTCAAAACAGACCGATGCCCTCAGACTAGGGTGGTTCTCAAGTTCTGTTCTTTCTTAGTTTGTAAAAACCTTGATAAAAGAGGTCCTTTGGAAATTGTGGTACTTAAATTTCTTAGACCGAATTCTAGAAGAATCTGTAATGAGGGAAGGAATGGGGATTGGGATGGAATGGGATAGGGTGCGACAGGATGAGGATGGATTGCAATTCCCCCATGTTCTTAAATGTTCAGGCAGATTAATATGGGATATGATGCTTGCCTTTTATAATGCTTTACCTTTTTGTTTTCTCTTGCAGATATGACTATATGTGAAGAGTTCTAAAAGACTAAGAACTTAAAACATGTGAAGTTGCCTAGGGAATTATTTTTTATCTTTTATACAATTTCTATGGTAGAGTCTACAGGCAAGTGGATGAAAGCTAAAAGGGAATATTGTTGCTATGCTGGATACAGAATTCAGTTTGCTTTGAAACAAATTTTGGTTTAAAAAATATCTGATGAAAAATTTTATTCCATATCCAAGGAGGAAAAGAGCTCATTTTTTTCATCTTCCCAACCACTGTCCCTCCCAGTCCCCCATCCGTGGCCTTGATGTACACACTGCAGTTTCTCCAGTACGATCACGATGTACAGTGGAACTATTTGTGTACGGCCTGAGCTAATGCTCAGTGTGTGTGTGCGCACACGTGTGTGTACACGTCTACGTACTGTACTTCTGTTCCCTCAACCCTTGGATCTCAATTTTGTTACTGGTTGTGAGACGATCCTCTTACAGTTTACCTGTAATAGAAAATAAAAGATGCATCTTCAGTGGTGAAGGCTCCTTGAAGACGTAGTCTAGCCCTGGGTACTTGATCCCCCCCCCCAAGAGATTATGGACTCAGAGGGAACCAGATGCTAGACTTTGGATTCGGAGACCAGAAATCAGCACTGACCTGCTACCAGCATGCCACTCCTAGGTCACTTATAAAATATTGAGTTTTTTTGTTTTTTTTTAACTCAAGCTAAGCAAATCTTATTTAGCCGTTGGATAAGGGGGAAGATGGGTTAAAGTCACTATAAAAAAGTCTTGTCTTGATAACTCAAGACCAAAACAAAACAATCTCACTTCTGATGTAAGATGGGCCCGCACCTTCCTCTGGTATGTTTTCCTTGGTGGTCTTCCTGTTCTCCATCTTGTAACTAGTGCCTATTTTTAAAGGATTCTTGAGGGTTACTTTCTCCTGTAGGCCTGGAATACCCCACTTTTTAAAAACAACAACAACTGTGCAGTTTATAGAAGACCTGAAAGAACCCAGAGGTGAGGGAAGTAGTATATTTACGGTAGGTCTGGGCCCAGAGGAAAGGAGCCCAGGAGTAGGGACTTCCCCAAGACCTGCCGCCTGTCAGTATTGCTGTGGTGCCTCGGGGCACTTCCTCTATTGCAAAAAGAGAACACTGTTCTCATTTACTCCCAAAGATAATTCTTATGAAAATGTAAAGTATTTACTGCAAATATACTCATTCCATTCTTTTTCTGGCATCAGACTAAAAATTTCTAACCTTTTGAGTGGTAGGTTCAGTTTCATGTGAGTTTTTGCTGCCAACTAATTAAAAGGTGTACGTGTGCATGCATATACACAGTGGACCAGGAGAAGGCAATATGGAAATAAATATCACTGTGCTCCAGAAAGTAGCAATATCAGAATTTTTGGGGGGAGTTGTGCATTAGTATAAATAATATACATGCAGTCTAAACCAGTAGTTTTATAAAACGGAATCATTTTTTGTTTTAAAAATATCATGCCCTCAAAATGATGAGGGATAAAGGGTAAGATATTCTTCAGCTTTAATTATTTTTTTAATTTTATTCAGGTCAGAGCACTTTTTAAAATAACAATACAACAGGCAAGAAAATACTCAAAATATTTAAAATTGTATTTATACCAAGAGTACATATGTTTTAAATATTTTCTAATACTTGAGCAGTTGCTGTCTGACTGGCTTCCAAATATGCCAAGAGTTAAGCATTCAGTATTTTCAACATATGCGCTTTTTACTGGTTTATATTATCTAATAAGAATCCTTAAGTGTCCCCAGTGCAACTGATGTTTACAGGCCTTTTGTGTTTTTCCTCCTTCTTTAGGAGGCTTGGGGAGCCACAACAAAGTTACTGTATAAAACACTAATGATGGACTAACTTCTGATGTAATAAATGAGTCAGCTACCACCTCGATGTAAAAATTTGTAAAGGGAATTTTTCACCATTTTGAGTGTTAAATGTATTTTTAACTGTCTGGTTTGTACTTCTACAACTTTTGTACTACCAAAGAAGAGTTAAAAATAAAAATGTTAAACGCAGGGAGCTGTTTTTGAATGATCCAATTGTTGGTGCCTTGGGTACTGAAAAGTACAATTGTGGTTGGTATAATTTATCAAGCTTAATGTCACAGTGCCCATTTTCTTATGTCTAAGTTGTCAAGTGATCACTTGGCTGACTTTCCTCATTGGGTTCTTCCTCTTCCCATAGTGATATCACCCCTTGATTATTATTTTGTTTAAGTCTGGAGATAATTTTGGATGTATGGAACACTTGCAGAAGCAGTACAAAGCGTTCTTGTATACTCTTCACCCCACTTTCCCTTATGGTATCATCTTACATAACCATTGCACATGATCAAAGCTAAGAAATTAACGTCAGTATAACACTATGAATTAAGTCACAGCATCATTCCAGTCTCACCAGTTATCCCATTAACATCCTGTTCTGTTCCAGATCGCCCGCCGCATTTAGCCCTTGGCTTCCTTAGTCTCCTCTGACCTGTGATTCTCAGTTTTTCAGGATCGTCATGTTAGGGGGTGCTCATCCATTATCTTAGAGAATGCCCTTCAACCTAAGTGTGCCGGCTGTTTCTCCTGATTAGACCGAGGGTCTGCGTTATAGAAAGGATGCCTTTCCTCTTGCTCCGGATTGGGGGGCTGCTGGGGAGGACGTGAGGTCAGTATGTTTCACTAGGGATGTCAGCCTCCACTATTTGGCCCAGGTGGTGGCCACCAGCGTTCATTTCTATGAAGTCACTAGTTCTCCCTTTGTAATGAGTAAGTTTTTGAGGGATGACTTTGGGGCTTCCCAGGTGGCACAAGGGAAAAGAAACCACCTGCCAGGGTGGGAGATACAAGAGATGTGGGTTCAATCCCTGGATCGGAAAGATCCCCTGGAGAAGGAAGTGACAATCCACTCCAATATTCTTTCCAGAAAAATTCCATGGACAGAAGACCCTGGTGAACTACAGTCCACAGAGTTTCAAAAACTCAGACTCAACTGATCGTGCATGCGCACGCACGCACACTTGGAGATTAGGCACATCCTATTTCTGCTTAAACTTTCTCCCTTTAGTTTTTACCACGTCTTAGTTTATTAGGGCTCCTATAAAAAACGAAGGTGGTGCCTAAAACAGCAGAAGTTTATTCTTTCGCAGTTGAGGAAGCAAACACCTGACTGCCCCACGGCCCGTCTTCCCTCTTGGTGCTTACTGGCAGTCACTGGCGTTCCCGGCTCTGTGGCTGCTTTGCTCCAGGGGCTGCCTGTCTTCTCAGGGACATCTCTGTGCGTGGGCCTCTGTTCACGCATCTTCTCATGGGGATACTGATCACTGTATGGATATAGGACCCTTTGTAATCTAGGATAACTGCATTTTGATTACATTTGCAAAGACCCTGATTCCAAATACCATCAATCTTCTCCACCCGAACCTGGAGTTAGAAATTCAACCTATCTTTTTAGGGGACACAGTTCAACCCCCTACACCACCCACTGGTGGGTCTTGCCTGCAGCTGTTTTTACGTGGGAGGGACTCTTTCAGGTCGGTGGCGGTGACCTTTTGATATAGCTCCTTCTCTTTACTTCGTCTTCACTTTCTCTCTTTATCCCTTTTGCCCTCTCTACCTTTCTGGATACCACAAGATGCTCCAGGCTCATCTTCTCCTCTTGTGTTTTCCTTGTCTCAGCCTGGGGATCCACCACTAATCAAGGAGCTCTGGCTCCCTTTATTGGAGAAAGGTGTTCAGAAGTAGAGATCAGAGCATTAGGTGTGCCCATTGATTTTGGGGTGTCACTGCTTCCAGGCACACATACACACACACACACTGCTGACCTACACATGTACACCTCGTTACGTAACTTTTTTCTGGCCGTACCATGTGGCATGCGGGATCTCAGTTCCTCAATCAGGGATCAAATGTGTGCCTTTTACAGTGGACTGCCAGGGAAGTCCCAATGTAACTATCTTTTTTTTAAACTTTTATTTATTTATTGACTGTGCTGGGTCTTCATTGCTGCTTGGGCTTTTCTCTAGTTGCAGCAAACGGGACCACTCTAGTCATGGCACACAGGCTTCTCACTGTGCTGGCTTCTCTCGTTGCAGAGCACAGGCTCCAGGGCTCACAGGCTTCAGTACCTGTGGTTAGCGGGCTCTGGAGCACAGGTTCAATAGTTGTGGCACACGGACTTGGTTGCTCAAAGGCATGTGGGATCTTCCTGCACCAAGGGTAGAACGCATGTCTCCTGCATTGGCAGGTGGATCCATTCATTACCACTGAGCCACCAAGGAAACCGTCTGTGTAACTATCTTTAGAACAAAATAACTGCTGCCTCTGACCCCAGTCTAGCTCCACAGGCTTCCCTCTAAACTTCCCACTTTCCGTCTTGGTAATTTTTCTCCAACAATAAAGAAACCTGGCTCTTATGATCTATGATCGTTTTACATCTGTATCAACCCTAGCATATGTACAAAGTAGTTTGAATATAGACCCCTAAAGAAATAGATTTCCAACGAGAGCACAATGCCATGTACTATTCTTCTAGTTTCAAGCCTTAGAAAATCCAGCCAGAAGCCCATTAGCCAAAATTACTTAGGTCAGCACCTTCATTCCCCACCCACCCCTTGGGCATGGTTATGTGATTCAGTTTTAACACAGAGTCATTTGTCATCGTCTGCATTCCATCTTTCCTTCATATCCAGGTTAAGTTTCTTAAAATTTATGTACAGCAAACTTTACTCTTTGTGGTGCCTCATTGGGTTCTGATTTTGAATTTTCATGTGTGTCTGTGTGTGTATGTTTTCCTTGAAATCGAGATGATCAATTAACAGCTTATGCTAAGGAAGTGGAAGAGCTAATTTTGTAATTTTTGGCTCATGAAAACCAGGAAACCTAGAATGTATGCATGAGGGAGGATGTTAGGACTCCCCCACCCACCCAATCTCTCATTTTGGAAAGGGGTCATTTGAGGTTACAGGTTTTGTTCTTAATCAGCAGTTTGATA